GAAGTGATTCCATCAATGTGGTATATATTAGTGATCAGAAAATTTATTTAATGCCAAGAATGTGTGGATGTGTGACCTTAGTATTTTATTTCTGAACTTGTATGAAAAGTGTATTTGTTAGCTTTCCCATTGCTGGAGGGACTCCGTACTAAAAACCCACAACTTAAAGGAAGAAAGATCAAATTTGCTTATAGTTTCAGACCAAGATTGGCTGGCACCAAGGCAGAAACATCACAACAGAAGGATATAGAAGAGCAAGGCTAATCACTTCATGGAAGCTGGAAGTACAAGAAATAGTGCTGGAGCAGAAGACACAAGGGACTAGGCCTAGTCCCCAAAGCCTCTTTAACACACCTAGACACACCTAGAATTAAGCTCGCCCAGCCCCCAGGATGCTTCCCAAAGCCAATCAAGTTGGGAATCCATCATAACTACCACAAAAGGTATTGATATATTTAAAGTAACTGCCACAATTGATTTCACAGTCAAACCCCAATATTTTCCTTTATGGTCATTCTCCTTGCTCCCGAGTTTCTCTCCTATATCGGAAGTCCTATTCAAGGGCACCTGTTGTAATTTTGTCCACACCATTCTCAAATAAAACTTTATGTCTCTAATATTAGTGTCTGTGGACCCTAGAAGGCCTTTTGTAGGGAGTCTGGTGTTTTGAGCAAGAAAATGAAGAGTCTGGAAGATGATATGGTTACCTACTCATCAGACAGTGAAGGCTATCCCAAGAGGTATACTGCACCTGCATACATAAAAAGTAAATATTTGTATGCCTTCCCAAGTTGCTTCTGTGAATTTCAAGATACATTTTCTAATATTTAACAAAAGAAAGTCTGCTAATTATTTTTTAAAATAGCCACTGGACTGTTTGCCTATGTAAATTACGCTGTTTATGTGTGACAGATTCTTTCTTCCTAACAAAAAGGAGTAAATATGGAAGCTCTGGGCAAAAGCAAATACTCATTTGGAAGAGAAAAGCAGGAAAGAGCCATATCAAATGGCACATATCTCCTTCAGTTCTGTTGTGCATTTTTTCTTCTCTGATTTTAGAGAAAGAGGCAGTTTATTTTGTGGTAGATCACTGCAGAATAGTTTCAAGAAGATTTTTGCTGTTGTTGTGAACGACTTCTCTCCCTCGCCCCTTTTTCACTCAGCACTTTATCACTTAAACTACCATCTGGTCCACCACTTATTATTATTAACCTTGCTATTTCAGAGCGGTACTGTCCTGTATGATGTATGATGTTCATCCGTGAATGCCTCAAACTATAGTTGCTGAGGCCTTTCTAAATAGAGTATTAACCTGTAATTACATGAGACCAAATGGTTTAAATGGAAACAGGCCTCGTAAGATATTTGAAATTATCATGGATGCAGTCTTCTGATGATCAGTAGTTAAAAAAATAACCCAAGCCCTAGCCCATTCCAAATGTCAAGTAATAATTGTGGCAGAATGCAAGCACCTGAATTCCAGGCACAAAGGGAGAATAGCACTGGCAATAGCATTAGAAATGGCCATTCAGTACTTTAGTTGTCGACCCAGTAGCATATAATCACAGCGTATGCTCAAGTTATGAAGCAATTGCAACTTATCTGAAAAATGTAGCTTTCTGACATCCATCAAGCTGATGAAATAACAAGTAAAAAGGAACAAGAGAATACAAATTGCATTTTCTAGGAAAAGATATTTTTATATATGATTAATTTCACATAGTTACAAATATATCTTTTAAAACTCTTCTTCCCAATATACATTCTAAATTAATTGATAAACTGGAATATATGGTAATGATTTTGGAGATATGGCCACTTTAACCCTCACTTCACAATCTATCTTAGGCAGGTCGTGGAGCCCTGTCTGTCTTTCACATTTCCCTCATAACTTTGGCAAATATATACATTGAGCACAGGTAGAGTTAAAGATTCCTACTTTCACTTATTTGTCTCATTAACTAATTTTGTGCACAAATTATGTCATTAGGTAGTTGCTATAGTAATAATTTTGGAATTAATTACTTCTATTTGAATCACTTCTTTTAGTTAAGGTCATAAGAAATCTTGTTAAAATAAATATAACATATACAAGATTGGTAATCCATTGACTTGTTTTTGATCATTAAATCACTGCCCATGAATTTATGCAACGATTTACCCTGGGATCTTACTGGAATGTACCTGCCTTGGGTGTGTAAATTGGGTGTCCCTTGAGGGTCCATGAGGGAGTTTGGACCCCAGGAAGGTGTTAGACTGTAGGAGATGGAGCCTATTGTTCCCACCTAATTTCTTAGGTCACTGAGGCTGTAACTTCAAAGGAGGTTGTGGCACTCAACCCATCACCCCTTCAACTATGACTGCATGCTCTGATGTGCTCTCACTATTGCCACGTGGTACCCACACTGGAGTCCCAAACAAATCAGCCTCCCAATCTTGGATTTGAAACTCCAAAGCTGAAGGAAGATAAACTATTTTTCTTGAAGCTAATCACCCCAGGTATTTCATTGTAGTAATGTAAAACTGACTAATAAAGGGCTTTGTGGATATAAATAATGTTAACTGAAGTCATAAGGATGGGAATTTGATACAGTAGGATTAATGTCTTTATAAGGGGAGACAGCAGAAAGCTTGCTTTCTGTCTCCCTCATGGGAAAGTACAGTAAGAAGGCAGTATTTTTAAGCCAGGAAGAGAGTCCTTAGTCAAACCTCACTATTCTGGCAGCCTGATTCAGACTTTCAACATCCAGAACTATGAGGAAGTAAATTTCTGTAGTGTAAATCAGAGTTTATGATATTTTTTATAATAGCCTAAGATAATCAATACTAATTAGAAGTACCATAGGTTTTTAATTCAATGCAGTTCAGATTGATTAGGTTGTCCTTTTAATCACTATGAATGACATGAAAATATTCATAGTCTTTTATAAATTTGTTTTGTTCTCTTAATATCTTCCTGAGGCTTGTGATAAAGTCTCATTCTTACAGAAAGTTGTTCACTTGTGGAATCATAACTAACTCATAGCTATAGGGAACCCATCACTATAGAATATGTCTGAAAATTTTCTTACTCAAACTCATTAAAACTTGTCCAATTTAAATAGAGCTGTGTTATCCCCTTCTCTCTCTCTCTCTCTCTCTCTCTCTCTCTCTCTCTCTCTCTCACACACACACACACACACACACACACGCATCCACAAAGTTCTCAGCTATAAGCTGCTGTGTATAACCTATTTATTAATGTTGACATTGAAGATATAACTATAGAAGTCCTAGGATATGCTAGCACAGTAATGGGCTTGTCTACTTGCTCTCTTGAGATGTGCATTTCACAATTTTGAGATTATGGTCAAAGAATGATTTTCCGAAGTGAGCCAGCCTCTTTGAGATGAAGATAGCATGATTATGTAAAGAACTTACAGGTTAGAAACTGGAATCTTCAGTTCTTGTTTATTTGTGCTACTAATAAGGTCTGTGTTTTGGGGTGAGGCATTTGAGATGTTTAGAACTTGATGCTCTCCCTCATAGATGAACACATTGGAATAGATCGATTATTTTCAAATAAGTTTCCAGGGGAATGAGAATGATAGGTTATGGTTAGACTAGCAAAATACTCTGTCTTCTCTCACTTATTTTCTTTAATCCTGGAAAACCAATTTCTATTTTCTAAGATTTCTGTAGGAAAGGGCTGGGGATTTAGCTCAGTGGTACTGCTCCTACCTCGTAAGCGTAAGGTCCTGAGTTCAATCCACAGTACCAAAAAATAGATTTCATTAGGAGAAAGAACTCTCTTTTTTTAAGTTTCCTTTGTCTGAACTTGATGATGTCAAAGTCTTCTTTTACCTACAAGCAATTTTTATGATTCTGATTAAAATCACAATTTGACTGATTGGATATTGACTTCCCCCATAAATATCAATTTTGGCTAAAATATAATTTTATCAATTCAACAGATAACTATTGTTGGAGATTTTATTGTATGTCCAAGTTTTGTTTCATAACACAGTATTTGAGGTTAATATAGAACATATTAGGTGCTATTTCCCTATATTAAATCGTTTAGTTTTTTAATTAAACCATTTAGTACAATAATTTCCCCACTGAAATTTTTTCCTTGACACATTGTGATTTCTTGTTCTGAAATCTTTTTTATCCCTTTCAGATACCCATAATTTTTGGCCACACAGATATAGGGAATATATTTGGTGTTCAGAATGTGTTAGGAGTAGTGAATTTTATAATATTTTTGGGGAGAAAACTAAACTTGGATAGATTAGTCTCTGGGTCTCAGAGATTGTATTTTATCAAGATCAGCAAAAGTTTTCCAGGGGTGAATTAAGTTGCAAACTATTGAAAATTTACAATCTTGAAGAATTTAAGGAAAATTGGCAGACCAATTTCTGCTTGAAAATCTCTTAGCTGCCCATGGGCAATAGGCATGACCTTGAGAACAGACAAATTTCGGTTTATACTCATACATATTTTCATCTTCTAAAGAAAGAAAAAAAATCAGAAATTACTAAGTGGTAGTGTGAATAAGACGGATTATTAAAAATAATCATCTAGAAGATAAAACCCTTACAGGAATCATTTATGGCAAAGAAGACTGAAGATGTTACCTCATGCACACTTTGTGATGAAAACCTAATTTTGCAGAAACAGTGGATAAGAAATGCAGATAGAAGCAGCGGAAGGCAGCAAACTATAGAAAAGTGTTGAGAAAACAGTAAAAGATGGTTCAATTAAAAATGAAAAGATTGATAATGAGCCAAATAAGGCAGGGGGAAGGTAGCTTTCTTTAAAATAGTGACTAGGAGCTCATTGTTATCGAAATGTTAGTCACATGTGGCACCTCTCAAATTCGTACCTGAGGTATTGTTAGTGAATGGGTGGGCTGCTGAAAGAGGGAAGCATAGGTTTAAGTCAAACCATCCACAGAAGACTGTTGCAGGCACTGAAAGGAGGCCATGTGTTCTAAGGATTTTTCTCTCTCTCTTTAGACTATAACTATGAGAAATACAAGAAATGAGAAGAAGCCGATCTGACATGCAAAGTGAAGTCAAAGCTGTGATAGTTGAACCTGTTTAAGAGAGACATAATAGATCACTGCTGTAAGTCTATAAGTGGCAAGTTGAAAATAAAGTATTCAGAACGGGGACAAAGAAGTACTCAGAAATTTAAAAAAGAAGTTGGTAAAGAATACATGCGAAGGACGATGTTAAACAGCATTGAGAAAGGAAACGAAGGGAGGTAAGATAAAAAGGGAAGCTGCAAATCTTCCTCTAGAACATTCTGACTCATCAAGCAGCCATAAATCTGGGCCTCCTAATATGTTTTGTCTGGTTATCTTTATTGAGTTTATTTTACTGCAGCTTTTCTGCCGGTGACTACGTCCACCTCAGCAAATAAGGGCTGAGAAGAGTTCCACATGAAATATTCATTGGGTTTAGATCCTTAATCCTAAAACTAAAAGCTACAGGAAAAAGCTGGAATAAAAAGAGTTTTAGTTGTCCATTTTATATATTTCAGATCATGGTGAGAGAATAAAGAAGGATTCAGCACAAGGAGGAGAAACTTAAAAAGAAGAAATGATATAGGAAGATCTTGAAAACAAAGACCCTTTTTAAAGCGGAAATCTGTAATGTGGGAAAAAAATGAAAGAGACAAAAGAATCTGAAGAATTGAAAACTCTTAGGATAGAGCCAAGATGTGACTTCAACAGTCCGGTGTGGGAAATTGCCCCTAAAGGAAATGGAGACTTTCAAAGACGGGTGTCTGACTGGGGGTGGGGGTGGGGGTGGGGAGAGCTTGGCTTTGCCTCAGAGCATGGCAGTCAGGAGAAATGCTTTGTGAAGAAGTCCTCAAGAAGGGCCAGGACTCGTTCTAGTTAGTAATACAATTATAATAGGGTAGGCGATGGCGTTCCTTGAGCATCTGCTCTGTACCGGGCACTTTACATAACTTACTTAGTTTAGTTCTCACAAACAGAAACTATAATCCCTATTTTACAATTAGTGACTGAGACTAACTCTCTCAAGGATATGATATCAAGCAGAACAACTGAGAGGAAAGCCACTGATACCTTTCTACAACCTTGTGCTGCTTTCCTTCTAAGTTTCTATTGAAACTCCCGTAGTTGAACATGTAAAGCAATTAGAAATGACCGCCTTTGTGCCATACCATTAACCCTCCAGTTAGTGGTGAATTAGGAGCAAATAAGTGCTCCAGGGAAAAGCCTAAATAGGTTAAATAAAATATAATAAGAAAGCTACAGCCCATTACTTATCTGTTTAAGAAAAAAAGGGGGCATGAAAAGGCAAGAGTAGTCCTTTTGCTGAGAACATTTAGACTCTGACACGGGGGTGTACTATGACAGTGTTCTCAGCTCTTTTAGCTTTGGCTTCACATTGGAATGGGACAAAGAAGTACTCAGAAATTTAAAAAAGAAGTTGGTAAAGAATACATGCGAAGGACGATGTTAAACAGCATTGAGAAAGGAAACGAAGGGAGGTAAGATAAAAAGGGAAGCTGCAAATCTTCCTCTAGAACATTCTGACTCATCAAGCAGCCATAAATCTGGGCCTCCTAATATGTTTTGTCTGGTTATCTTTATTGAGTTTATTTTACTGCAGCTTTTCTGCCGGTGACTACGTCCACCTCAGCAAATAAGGGCTGAGAAGAGTTCCACATGAAATATTCATTGGGTTTAGATCCTTAATCCTAAAACTAAAAGCTACAGGAAAAAGCTGGAATAAAAAGAGTTTTAGTTGTCCATTTTATATATTTGAGATCATGGTGAGAGAATAAAGAAGGATTCAGCACAAGGAGGAGAAACTTAAAAAGAAGAAATGATATAGGAAGATCTTGAAAACAAAGACCCTTTTTAAAGCGGAAATCTGTAATGTGGGAAAAAAATGAAAGAGACAAAAGAATCTGAAGAATTGAAAACTCTTAGGATAGAGCCAAGATGTGACTTCAACAGTCCGGTGTGGGAAATTGCCCCTAAAGGAAATGGAGACTTTCAAAGACGGGTGTCTGACTGGGGGTGGGGGTGGGGGTGGGGAGAGCTTGGCTTTGCCTCAGAGCATGGCAGTCAGGAGAAATGCTTTGTGAAGAAGTCCTCAAGAAGGGCCAGGACTCGTTCTAGTTAGTAATACAATTATAATAGGGTAGGCGATGGCGTTCCTTGAGCATCTGCTCTGTACCGGGCACTTTACATAACTTACTTAGTTTAGTTCTCACAAACAGAAACTATAATCCCTATTTTACAATTAGTGACTGAGACTAACTCTCTCAAGGATATGATATCAAGCAGAACAACTGAGAGGAAAGCCACTGATACCTTTCTACAACCTTGTGCTGCTTTCCTTCTAAGTTTCTATTGAAACTCCCGTAGTTGAACATGTAAAGCAATTAGAAATGACCGCCTTTGTGCCATACCATTAACCCTCCAGTTAGTGGTGAATTAGGAGCAAATAAGTGCTCCAGGGAAAAGCCTAAATAGGTTAAATAAAATATAATAAGAAAGCTACAGCCCATTACTTATCTGTTTAAGAAAAAAAGGGGGCATGAAAAGGCAAGAGTAGTCCTTTTGCTGAGAACATTTAGACTCTGACACGGGGGTGTACTATGACAGTGTTCTCAGCTCTTTTAGCTTTGGCTTCACATTGGAAACCTGGAGGAGCTTTTTAAAAATGCTCATACTTGAGTCCCAATAGAGAGATTCTCAATGGTCTGGGGTCACTGAATTTTTTTCCACTGGAAATTTTTATTGGAATTTCTCAGGTGGTTATAGTTTGTGGCAAGGTCGAAGAACAATTATCCCACAAATTGAGTCTAATAATGAAATCTATTCTTTCCAACTTCTAAACAAATAGCATTTGTCTTTGTGTCTCCTTGTTAGTTAGGGCAATATCTTAGGCATGGTAGATGCTTACTATTGCTTTGAATAACAGATGCCTAATAAATGCCTAATAAAGAGCACTGATGCATGCACAGCTCTGTTCCTTTATAATCTGGATACCTCTTATTGCTTTTAAGTGTTCAATATTCCCTGGAGTCTTTCAGACTTTTTTTTTTTTTTTAGTACAGCTTGATCAGAGCTGCATACGTGGAAATTTTTGCATCAAGAGATACTAGTTGAGTTCCATCATGTGTGACAAGCTTTCCCTTTTTGGGTAGACTCCTGATAACAAAAACATTGGCTTCTCCAGACTCTTTTCTATTCTCTAAGGAAGACATCCCACTTCATTTAAATTTCTGTTCCTCTAGGGAATCTGACCTTCTGGGCTAGTGGCAGCATGCCACAGTTGCTAAGAGCATGGATCTAGACACAAAGCTTCCTGAGTTCTAACTTCAGCTCTGCTATTTCTGATGTCTGTAATATTGAGTTACTTTTCTTCTATGAACCTCAGTTTCTCAATCTCCATCATAGCATGAAGTGGTAGTCCTACCTACTTCATAAAAATGCACTGAGGTCAAATGAGTTTGTTATGTGAAGTGCTTAGAATGTCTGGTACGTAGTAAGTGCCACATAAGTGCACTCCAATTTCAGAGAGAATACTTTATTATATAGAATTGAAATTATTCACTGGCATTCTATAATTTCTTTGGAAGAGAAGTGTATTTGACATGTTAATATCTTCTTGACAGAACTGAAAGAAACAATAAAAAAGAATTTTCAGCTGGTGAAGAGATGTGCAGGGGTTGCTCAGAGGAAAGGGGGGATGAGCAATGGGTTGGCCTTGGTTCTACCATTTGCTTTTTACAGTGTCTATTGACCAACCTCATTGGAAACAATATATGATGAAGATGCATACAAATTAACTATATAATCAGTCATTATGATGTTAGTAGTTATTTCCCAGTTCTCCATTCTTCCTCCTTGTAAAGATCCACTTATCTTCTGACCTGAGGCAGTGGGAAGAAGATGTAAGATTCTTCAAAATTATTGTGCTATCAACCAATTTCTTGACGGGCTATGTCTGCTGCTTTGCTACCTTACTTTTTGTTTAGAAGCAAGAAGACAGCAAAAGAAACAAAAGATGAAAGAAAGGTATGTCCAGACTTTTATATATGTCAAAAGTTATCAGAAATATCTGCAATTCAGAAAAACATCCAGGATAGATTTTACAAAGGTTTATTTGACAAGATGAAGAGAACAAGAAAAATTGCATTGCTGAGAGATGATGAAATAGGACAGGAATCATTTATGTTTTATAGTTATAGGTGATATTAAACTTTAAAAGTTGTACAATAAAACTTAATCCAAACAGCAAGCTACCTCTAATTGGAGTTCCATGGTAGAAATCTAAATGATGCCCCTTGTAAAGTTATTCTTACTTTACTTGGACTCTCAAGGAGATAATAAATCAAGTGATAGCATCTGAGGTTTGAAGAAAGTTTATTTTGGTTTTCCAGCTGTGATTTTCTGGATTTCAAAATGACTGCCTTGATATTTATTTTTTCTCTTGGGAAAGAAGGGAAAAAACTCTTTACTGCATTCCCACTGTCTAGGATATTAGCTGTCAAAATTCCTACTGGCTGACCTTTTGAAAGAGGACATAGCATTTGACCAGCTCAGCTTTTCTTCCTCTTTTCTCACTATAGATGTTACTGTACAACTCACACTTTATTTTGGACTATTATTTGAGAAGCATTGTAACATGACCTGCACAAAGAGACAAGTAACTGTACAGTATTTCCTTCCAGGATCCAATTGGCACAGATAAAATTCCCATGTGTTATATTGCACATACAGTTTATGTGTGTGTGTGTGTGTGTGTGTGTGTGTGTGTGTGTGTGTGTGTGTGTTTAAATGCCTTGTCTGCGTTTGGCTTAAAAAACATCAATCTGCTCTTTTACGAAAAAAGTAGAAATAATCTAACATTTCATTTTTCACCCAATTTGTCTATTGGCTAGCTTACAAGAACCAAACAAGTCTAAGAAAATTAGCTGTTATAGTTTGTGTTGATGCTTAGGGGCTCATAGAACATGATTAAGCTTTTATGGAAGGAAAGCAAAGGTTTTTCTTTGTTAAAGGAAGAAATAGTTAACTTCTCTGTACTCTAAATGATTTTAAATTAACAATAACTTTTATATGATCCAGCTGAATTCCTCTTGGTGTGAAAAAGAAGCTTTAACACAAAGGGACCCAGATATCAATACTCTGTGATACACCTGTGAATCCCAGTTCCCCGAATCAGGATCACAGAGGGACCGTATAGGTTTGTGATGACTTCAAATCTGTTGACTGAGGCATTAATGTGGAATTAGTAAGGCTCACAAAGCAGAGATAAATCTAGAGAAAGCACAGAAGTTTGGATCAGTAAGCAACTTAGAAATATTTACTCAGTGGTTAATATTCACAAACAAACTATATGTAACTGAAATGAAAACTTTGCGAATTCTCAGCAAGTGGACAATATTTAACTTAGTGACCCTATCCCCAAGAGTGTAGTTGGCCTCTATCTCTAATTATGGCTCACTGTAAATAGTTGAGAAATTCCAAATAGAGGGAAAAGTGCATTTCCTAAATTGAAAGAATATTCACCTACCCAAGCGCTGAAGTCTGGAATCCCCCATTGAGTCTCTCACAGGCATTACGTGAATTGTACCACATTGAAGAAATTCCAAATTTCTGTTTCTGATCTTATAGAAAGGTCTGGTTATACTAAATAAGGAGAAGTTAACTGGATGGAATGTACTTTGTAAAGTCTTTGTTTTAGCAGAGATCTTGAAAAGTTACAGATAGGAATACCAAAAGGAACTTCTACTCTGACTCTTCAGAAGCTAAGGACTTCAGCACCATTCTCTTGGTCTGAATCCCTGGAGTCTTTCCATGACTTTTCTCTCTTGCTCTGGAATTGTACACACAGCTAGAGCTGAACAGAATAAGAAACATCTTGAAGTGATGTCTCTTTAGGGAAGGTTTTAGCAGGCCCCCTAGAGCAGCCTCTTCTTTCAGGAGAAATCTAAAAGGATTTATAGGCTTGAACATTGAGCTTATGGATAGGAAACGCACTTTGGGAAATTCCTGGGGATAAACCAGCAATATATTTGTC